TGCGGAGAAGCCACCTCTCTCCGAGATCAACTAAACCCGAGCCGCTCCGGCGCTGCGAGGAGGGGGAGGGGGCCCTGAAGTGCCTGTCACCCAACCCCCTCGGTGGGTGTCTAGTACATCACACTTTGAAAGCTTCAGGGCCGCATCCTGCAAGGCGCTGGGCTACTCTTCCTTTGGAGCTGGCATGTGCTGGCGGCACCTCTGAGAGCCGGATCCCATCCTGGCTGAGGAACAAGCTGCAAACCGCTCAGAAATCCCCTGGGAGTGGGGGGAAGCGCACATCAGGCTCTCGGAGGGTTTGGGATCGGGGACCCCAGGGCGGTGCGTCATGCGCCCCCAGCAGCGGCAAGGAAGGGAGACTCCAAGGACAGCTGCCAAGTGAGCACACAGGGCAGCTTTGATCGGTGAGCCGCACGGCTGCTGTGACTACCCTCCGCAGAGCCTGGGTTTTGCTGTGTGCATAGTGCACGGTGCGGTGGCCAAGGGCCGGGTTTCCTGGCATCTTTTCCCCGGGCCTTCTTGCTCCAAGCCAGCCTCTCTTACTGGCCGGGGACGCGGCGCCTTCCTCTCTGGGTCTCCCTGTGCGAGTTAGAGCCAGATGAGAGGAATGATGGGGAGGCATTGGGGAACGTTCCCCCCTTTCCTTGCCAAATTTCATGTGTACGAAAGGCCTTGTCTCGCTCTGTCCCGGGGGGCATCCTCATGTGTCAGGGCACAAGCCCGCCAGTAATCCATGAGGGTCAGGAAGAATCTGACCCCGTGGACAGGTTGTTCGGGAATTACCCACTGGGGTTTCTCACCCCTTCCTTTGGAACAGCTAGTGCTGGTCCCTGGCAGAGCCGGCTCTGCTCTGCTGGGTTAATTGTTAGGTCCCTAGGAGAAGCCATCTGAAATGTGTACAGGCTTGGATTAGGCGCTTTGATTTTTCTCTCCCTATGTGTATAGCCAAGTTATTTCTTCACTGTAAATCCAGCCTTACCTAAGCCCCATGGAAGTGGGGGAGGTCTAGGTTGCATATTAGGAAAAACGATTTCCTAGGAGGGTGGGGAAGCACTGGGATGGGTTCCCTAGGGATGTGGAATCTCCATCCCTAGAGGTTTTGAAGTCCCGGCTTGGCAAAGCCCTGGCTGGGATGATTTCATTGGGATTGGTCCTGCTTTGGGCAGGGGGCTGGAGTCGATGACTCCTGAAAACTCTGCCAGCCCTGGGATTCTGGGATTTGAAGTGCTACTAGCTCAGGCTCTGAATCTACTCACCCAGCCTTTGGCATGATCCTGAAAAACACCCCGACCCTCTCTAGCCCCCACACTTCCAAACCCCTAGAAATAGCTCACTCGCCCATCAGGAAATCTTATTGTGAAAGGTGGGATCTTGCAAGGGTGTGTGACCAGCCTGGCCGTAATCTGCAAACAGATCTGAGACCCTCCCCAGTCTTGCGGGACCTCGGCCCACACTGCCCCTTTGTGCTTTCTCTGCAGCCTGAGTCTTGCTCCCGAACGCTTGCGAAGAGAACTCGTGTTCTAACACAAGTGTTGCCCCTCCCCACAGTCCCAGCCATGTGGAGAAAGCACTCGAGTCTGCTGGTGCTTTTCCTTCAAGCTGGCAGGTCTTAGGGTGAGCAAGGGATCCGAGGGGCGTCAGTATCTTCTGGGTGGGAGCCCCATCCCCCACCGTAGCCATGTCTATGCTGCAAAGGGAGGTTGCTGTAAGATGCCGCGTGTCAACATATTGGTGTGTGTGTCTGCTCTCAGATTTGTCTCCCGATGACATAAATGCCCTGTTCCAGTGATGCAGTAGCACATCTCCCTGAATGGGGTGTGCCGTGGTGGAGATACATTGGTAGACACGGCAGGAGTGTGATCGATGGCAGAACGAGATCATATACATTAAAACATCACTGCCAGCCCCAGCTGTTCCTCTCCCTTAGCTCTGTTCTCGGATCCGTTCTCTTCCCGTCCTTTTTCTCTCTGTGTGAATAGCGCGGCACCTACTGCGTCTCGGGGAGGGGGAACCGGCCGCACCCACCGAACCCCCTTCTCTCGCTTGTGTTTTGTAACCAGGTCGAGAATGGCCGATTTTCACACCAACTGTCAAGTCTCTTTCCAGTCACTTACCAGCTGCCCGGAGGATACTTACCAGGCATGTCTGGGCTCCTACGCAGGGATGATAGGTGAGTCGGTCTGGTGGCTTAGCACCGCAGGGTTGCCTTTCTCAGTGTCCGGCTTTGGGGGAGCAGGGGGGTTGGTTTATGGATGGGGGCTTTGGGGGCTGGCTGCTTTGCAGCTAGAGCAGCTTAGTGCTGGGGAGTGTTGCAGATGTGGGGAGGCCAGCCAGGCCCAGGGTGCAGGCTGGAGAGCTGGGTTGGATTCCTATCTTTGCCTCCTGCATGATCTTGGGTAAGTCTCCGGTTTCGCACTGCTAAAGGACTGGGGCTGGCCTTGCTATGAAGAACAAGCTCTGTTGCTAAAGCAGGATCTATTCACCCCGCCTTTGGCGTGAGCCTGAAAAACACCCCCACGTGGAGAGAACTCTGGGAGCAGAGGTCCATGTGGGAGAAAGCAAGCGATGGGGGCAGAGGTGTTTGGCAGGCTCAGCCAACGCCGGCGCTCTGGTCTTGGGTGGGAGGTTGGGGACCAGCGTGCAGGCTGCATGGGGGGGATTCTGGGGGCTGCGAGTTTCAGGGGGAGCAGATCCGGCCGCCTTGTCCATCCAGCTCAGTTTCACTGCTCAGCCCAGCTGGGTTTGCTTCACTCTGCAGAGCCGCCGAGCGGCGTGGCTGTCACCCTGACCCCCGGAGTCAAAGGCGTCCGGAAGATGAGGGATGGTGGGTGGGCCAGCCCCCCGTGGGAAGCTGTCGGAGCTGCCCTGCACACGGGGCCTGAAGAGAGAGGGGCCTGGGCAGGTTCAGCCAGCAAGAGTCCCAGAGAGAAGGACGGAGCAGCGACCAGGCCAGCGCAGAGGGACCAAGAGCCACGTGTCTGCTTAGACAGGGCGACTCCAGGGGCTAGTTATGGGACATGGAGCCTTTCCCCCACTACTGATTGCTACTCTCCCTCCATCTCCCACTGAGCTCCCCGCCTCCCCTTCGGTGCTGCCGATGCCACCCTGGAGCTGGTTCTAGAGAGAGCAGCTGGAGGGGGAGTCCCTGGTAGGGGCAGATCTGGACGCTGTTCCCTTTAGATCTGCTGGGATCCGGGCGAACCCCCTGGAGCATGGAATACGAGAGCCGCCCCGGTGCAAAGTCCACCCTGCTGTGAGCGGGGAGACGGCCAGGGCAGCGGGCAGCTGTTCCTCCCCATTAGAACATTGCTCTCCTGGCCCCTGATTTGGTTTTCCTTCCTCCTGAGCAGGGTTCGACATGACGCCCAACTACATCGACTCGAGCATCGTCAGCATAACCGTCTCGCCCTGGTGCTCCTGCCGAGGGAGCGGCAACATGGAGGAGGAGTGTGAGAAGTTCCTGAGAGACTTCACGGAAAACCCATGTCTCCGTAAGTCCCCGCCTGCCCTGCGGCCCAGGGCTTGGGCCTGTCGGGAGCGCCGACCGCTCTCCCGGCCGTTAGAAGGGTGGGGAGCAGAACGAGAGGCCGGCTGCAAGGGACTCCAGAGGGAGGTCTGTGGTGTGCAACACGGAGGCTCATCAGTGTATCCGGGGGAGCTCATCACTCCTGGATTGAAGCTGCTCCCAGCCACCTGCAAACTCCTCTGGCCTCACCACCATACTTGCCTAAGGCTATGTCTATACTATAGCCTTTTGGCGGAAAAACATATGCAAATGAGGCTAAGCGTGGAATATTGCCACGCCTCATTTGCATAATAATTGGCACTCATTTTTGCGCAAAAAAACCCTCTTGCACAGCAGCCATTTTTGCACAAAAAACCCCTCTTGCACAAAAACGCGTGCTCATTAATTATGCAAATGAGGCACGGCGATATAGCCACATTTGCATAGGTTTTTCTGTAAAAGGGCTCTAGTGTAGACATAGTCTAAGGGTAACGGTGACAGGCGGAACCGAACCCACGACCTCTGGAGCTTAGTTCATGAGCCGCCACAGCATGTGCTAAATGCCCGCTGGCCCTTAGCTCAGGCTGCAGAGTGTGTGTGTGGGGGGGAAGGGGGAGGCTTTTTTGAGGCGGGGCCACTGACCCACAGAAGAATCAGTTGTGGGCTGCACAAAAGTGAGAAGTTAACCCCCCGAACCCAAAAACCACCTCACTGACGTGGCCCCCGACTGAGAAGGAGAAAGACCCTCCCCACATTCCCCTCCCACACCAGAGCCTGGGGGTGGGGCGAGCTGGCAGATTTTGGGGGCCATCCCAGGCTCTGGGGTGAGGCAAAAATGAGGGGCTCGGTCTATGGGAGGGGAGGCTGGGAAGCAGGCTTGGGGTGTGGGGCAGGTGGGAGGGGGTTGGTGGGTCTGGGAGTCTGGGAGGGAGGTAGGGCGCAGGAGTGGAGTGGGGGTACAGGAATGGGCTGGAGGTGGGGATTTGGGGTGCTCCAGCCCTGTGGGAGGGGAGGGCTATGGGGGGGAGGAGGATGCAGGGCTGGAGCGCCAGCACCAGCTCCCCGATGCTGGTGGGGGAAAGCCCCAAGCCTCAGGGGCCGGATCCAGGCAAGCTGGGGGACGAATCCAGCCCCTAGGCTGTAGGTTCCCCACCCCGGGGAAACTCTCTCTCTCTCTCTCTCTCTCTCTCTCTGCAAGTGGTCGCAGTGCCTCTCCATAGGACAGTGTCCCACCCCCAGCAGGTGGGTGCGTTACACCAGCTCCCGCCCCATGTCTCTGCAGAGGAAGAGTACGCAGGAAATCCCTTCTGGCTTGGGCTTGCTTGCTGCTCAGCCGTAATTATTATGCTGTACGGAGTTTGGGCAAACCTTACAACCTTGCAGATTGCTATTGACGCGGTCCCTTTGATGAAGGAGGCTCGGGTATGCTCAGCTCCGGGAGCTTCCTTTGCTCCGTTACGTATGATAATTGCTTCCATTTAATTAGTCGTTATTCAATTTAAACATCTGAAAATGTTGCTGTCGAGCTCCCTCGCCCTAGTGGGAGCAGCGGCCCCCTCCCGGCGGAATGGTCAAGCTCATTTCGTCTGTTTCGGGGATAACAGTCGGCAGCAAGCAGACCTGGGCTATTCTGCCCTTTGCAATCCGGTCTTGCCCTGCAGGGTTAGCCTAGTAGGTGCTGCAGAGAAGGAAGCCAGAGTCCTGCTTGGCTTGGTGCTATGGGATTGGTAAATAAAGAAATAATATGATCATTATTATTGGTATTAATGCACCTCAGTCCTGACCAGCAGGACCCCTGTTTTTCCAGATCTGAATTCCCCATATTCAGTTCTTCCATCCCTCCCCTACAGCTGGTAGCATCCCCTGCTTTTCCAGTGATGGCCCCACTCCACCATCATGTTTCCAATGTTGCATAATCCTGCCCACAGATCCTCCTGCTTCCTCCTCCCCAACTGTACCAATGCACCTCAGTCCAGACCTGAACAGCCACCCACATTTTGTACAGCGTTATGTAGGACACATTATGCAATTGAAGAAAACTGCATATTTTCATTTACTCTTCAACTTCCCCTTACAAATATACCCTGAGGATTCCATGCTGGGGAATGGCATTGGGCAGAGTTAAGGTTATCTACGCATCTCCCTCATGACACAGGCTTTAATTATAGCTTCCCCATGCTGTTTCCGCCATGAGCTAGCACGATTTGAACCCAGGGCCTTTAATGCCACAAAATAGACCCCAGCCAGCTGAGAAGAGGTTATTTTCCTCTTTGTGGACCAGTCCCTAGAGGGGAACGTGCTTCACGAGTACCGATCCTTCTGGCAGCCAACCAGATTGATCACGGACAGGGAGGAGTCGGTTCTGTTGGTCCCGATTGATGCTCCCGAATCTTGGCAAGACGGATCCAAAGAGCCATGGCAAAGCAGCCTCTTTTACAGCAGGAAAGACTTAAAAACCACAAATAGTCTAGCAGCACCTTAAAGACTAACACAACACATTGATGGGATCATGAGCTTTCGTGGACACGGCCTACTTCTTCAGATGGCTGAAGCATTTTTCCTTCATTAGGATCAGTAAGTTTTGCACCGTCATGCGGTAATCCATCGCCGTTTGACGAGTACTTGTTTTCTCAAGTTCTTCTCACGTCACAGCTCCCTTGTCCCAATTAATGGGCGCTTGCCTTATCTTTTAGAGTCGTCAATCTGCCCTTCATCCGCATCTCACCAGAGATGTACAGCAATCTCCTGGTGCCATTACATCTGTCTCCCTAGACCGTCTGGTCCAGTGATGGTCTTCCTACTTATCTTCTCAGACACAGTCCTCATGCTGCACTCACAAGAGCAAAAATTACATCGTGGCTTCTCTCAAAACAGAACTGGTCCAAAACCCATTCTTACTCTTACATTAAAAAAACAAAAAAATCCTAATGGTAAAAGAAGGACAAATAGACCCTTTTGATCTAATCCTGCTTTAAGATTAAATACCCCCCCCTCCACTGCAGCCTCCCGCAATAGCCTGCTTAATGCATTTTTACCAACAGCATGAAGCTGTTCCTTTCTGCAAATCAGAAAAGATGGCTGGTGAGGAACACTGAGACACACGACACCGTATAAAGCTACATTTTAGCTACCTGGCTAGAGTCCCACTAGCACTCATTCCCCACCTCCTCATGCAGCTCAGTTAAGCTGCCGTGGTTGCAGCGTGCCATTGATACTCTACAGAGAGCCAGGTCTTCTCCTTCCTGTGTCCTGTATCCCTCAGCCTTGATCCCTGTCTCCACTCCAGGGATAATTCCTTCCAGCCCTGTGACCTCCGAGTTCCACAGCTCTCATCAATTTCAGCTCCTATTACCAGGACTGCCAGCCCCAAACCTCCCGAGCCAGAGCCCCACAAATCATGAAATAATCGTAATACGCGTGAGACGGACCCCCACGCTCCCACAACTTTGAGGCTTTTTGTTCTTTGCCTTCTTGTTTCTGAGCCTTTAAGGTATACTCGGGTCATGTTTCCAAGCTTATCTCTGTAACCCGCTGTGACAGATGCGGTAGAGACATGGAATATTCAAAGAGCACTACGCTGACTTTATAAATGTTATATGTATCTTGACGGGCTGCGTAGGGATTGTCACACCGGGAGGGCTAGAGTCGTAGCTTTCATTTGCACAGAAGTGAGATTCTCATGTAGTCACTTGTTGTAGGCTCTGGGTTTTAAATAAAACACCGAGCGTTGTGAAACTCACACTCAAATCATGCATGTTGGCAACGCTACCTAACTCTTCTACTCCCTTGCTTGCGAGGAGAGGCTGAGGGATTTGGGCTTATTTAGTCTACAGAAGAGAAGAGAGAGAGAGAGAGTGTGTGAGGGATTTGATAGCAACCTTTAACTTCCTGAAGGGTGGGGGGGGCGGGTCCAGAGAGGATGGAGAGAGGCTGTTCTCAGTGGTGGCAGATGGCAGAACGAAGAGCAATGGTCTCAAGTTGTAGTGGGGGAGGTCTAGGTTGGAGATTAGGAAAAACTATTTCCCTAGGAGGGTGGGGAAGCGCTGGGATGGGTTCCCTAGGGAGGGGGTGGAATCTCCATCCCTAGAGGTTTTTAAGTCTCAGCTTGACAAAGCCCTGGCTGGGATGATTGAGTTGGGATTGATCCTGCTTTGAGCAGGGGGTTGGACCTGACGACCTCCTGAGGACTCGGCCAGCCTTGGGATCCTAGGAATCTAAGTGCTACTAACTCAGACTTTGAATCTACTCACCCAGCCTTTGGCATGATCTTGAAAAACACCCCGACCCTCTCCAGCCCCCAAACTTCCCAACCCCGAGAAATAGCTCATTCGCCCATCAGGAAATCTTACCTGAGGAATCTCCTGAGGTCTCTTCCAGCCCTGGGATTCTAGGATTCTGTGATTTGGCATTTCCCCTCCCTTTGCTCTGAGCCACGCGGACACACGGGGGAAGGTGGAGAGAGAAAGGTGGGTAGAAGGGAAGGACAGCCCCTTGATCTCTGTGGCTTTGATCCATGGGGCTGACCACTTTCTGGTTCCAGTACACTGTGTGGATGAGCTGGAAACTTCTGCCGCGTGTGTGCTTTACCCACGATGCACGTAGGGCTGATGAGAAGGGTTATGGGCAAGAAGAAGTCACCTGACAAAGGGCACAGGGATGCTGAACTTGGGGGAAGAGACTGGGTATAGCAACGGGCAGGGAGGGACGAAGGAGGAGAGGGAGCCGAGGAGGTGGGAGGTGATGGGGAAGGAAGAAAGAGAAAAAGGGAATAAGTGGCGGGAGGAGGGGAAATGACTGTGGCAGCAACAGAAAAGCCAGCCCCAATCTTCCGCATGGGAAAGCCACTGACCTGGGCTGGAAGGGGAGGGGAGAAAGCCAGGACCGTCCCGGTCCCAGGAGATCCGTGAGAAGTGTCAATGCCCCACACAGAGTCCCCTCCATCAGGGGAGCTGGAAACATTTTTGCTGTGCAGGCCTTGGGTGTCTGCTATTACTACTGCGAGCCGGGGGGAGGGGTGTGAGTCAGCCCCCCCAGTCCTACCCCCGCTGCCCTTCCTCGCCTTCCCTGGGCTCAGGGAGGATGATGGGGGTTTGAGGGCCGCGGGGCTGGGAGGGGGACCCCTCTCGAGATGAGCGCTCACAAGACTTGCCTGTTTTAGGGTGGGATTTAGTGATAGTTGAGAAACGGGCTGGGGGCTGGGGGAGGGGGCTAAGGAGAGAAAGCCACTTTTACTCACAGGGGCAGTGTCATGGCTACTTCAACACGCGACAGGCTGGGTCCCAAGGCAAGGCGGTCGGGGCGGAAAGGAGGGCTGGAGGGAGAAGGGATGTGACCGGGTAGCCGGTTCACTCTGACCGGGGGATGCTTACCAGGTTAACCGGGGCCTGGGAGCAGTCGCCTGCCCACGGCCTGCCCCACGTTTAACTGGTGAACGGATGAAACGGGATTTTCCATCCCTCCGAGGGAGGACGTGGGATCCTGAGGGCCTGAGAGGAGCAGCGACTGGGCAGGAAGGCGGGGGAGGAGAGCGTGTGTGGGGGAGGCGGGGAAGGAAGAAGCGTCTGAATGAGAGATGACAGCCTGACAGGAAGAGAAATGACTCGCTTGATGCCTGCTCAGCCGCCCTCCCCCAGCGGCCCAGTGCCAGCGAGGGCCTCCTGGTTCTCTCGGCCTCGGCCTGCTTCTCGGAGTGAGCCCCGGCGGCTGTCTGGTCCCCTGGTCCCCTGGCGGGAGAGTCTGGGCAGGGAGTGGCAGAGGCTTTTCCAGTCGTTATCTGAGCCTCCAGCCCCCTCCCTGGTGACCATGGAGCTTGATAGAGCTAGCTGGGCGCCGCCCCGGAACAGCGTTGCTAGTGGTTAGAGCTGAGAACTGGCTGTCAGGACTGCTAGGTTCTAATCCAGGGGTGGGGAACCTACGGCCTGGGGGCTGGATCCGGCCCCCAGCTTGCCTGGATCTGGCCCCTGAGGGGTGGGGCTTCACCCCCAACATTGGGGAGTTGGTGCTCCAGTCTTGTGGCTGCCTTCCTGCCCAGACCCCACACCCACACTCCGCTCCTGTACCCCACCTCCCATCCAGTCCTCCTACCCCCACTCCACTCCTGCACCCCAGCTCCCATCCAGACTCCGCACCCCCACTCCGCTCCTGCACCCCAACTCCTGTCCAGTCCTCCTACCCCCACTGCATTCCAACTCCCATCCCGACCCCGCACCCCCACTCCACTCCTGCACCCCACCTCCCATCCAGTCCTTCTACCCCCACTCCACTCCTGAACCTTTCCTCCTACCCAGACACCACACCCCCTACCTCCCTCCCTCCCACCACTCCCATCCCCAGCCTGCTCCTGCACCCTCCCACTCTCCCAGACCCACCACCCTCCACTCACTCTTGCATCCTCCCGCCCACACCCCAAACCCCCTTCCCGGCAGCTCCTTCCACACACTGAACTCCTCATTTCTGGCCCCACTCCAGGGCACGGTGGGGCCCATCAAATCTACTAGCCTGGACCCTCCTAGGCTCTGGCTTGTGAGGGGAAGGTGAGAAGTGTCTTTCTGCTTCTCAGCTGGGTGGTTTTTTGTCTTCTTCTCACTTTTGTGCAGCCCCCGACTGATTTTTCAGTGGTTCAGCACCCCTCCCCCCCCCTATTCTAACCCTTGCCGTCGGAAGGGTTTGTTGTCTAGTGATTAGCACAGTAGTGAGGGAGGCAGGACTCCTGGGTCCCGTTCCCAGAATAAGGCAGTAATGTTGGCAGTGGGTTGACATAAGGCTGTCGCATCCACCAAGCCCCACTGCCAACTTGCTGCTTGGTCCCGGGGAAGCTGCCTCCCCTTGGGGTGCCTCAGTTTCTCCATCTGTAAAATGGGGACTGTGCTGACCTGTCTCGTGCGGAGGGGGAGCTGGTGACCGTTAATCCCTTCCTAATGTTTGGAAAGCTGTTCCAGATCGGTGGGGGGCGCCCCGCATTTTCACGACGGCTGTTGCGCCCCATGTGTGCTCTGCATAGACATAGCGAGTGAAACCGCCGTCTCTCCTCTCGCTCCCAGGAAACGCCATTCAGGCCTTTGGCAACGGCACAGACGTCAACCTGCCCCCCAAAAACCCCTCGCCGCCGGTCACCGTGCCCCCGAAGACAGAAAAGAGCCCCGCTTTGCCAGATGACATCAACGACAGCAACACCATCTACGACACCAGTGTGATCACAACGTGCACCTCTGTTCAGGTAGGACCTCAGCGGGGGCTTGGCCAGCGGCCTCGGGAAGGGAGAATTGCCTAGTGAAGGGTGCTGTTTGCAAGGGGACCTCTTGAGCCAAAATCTTTATTACCCAGAATCCTCTTGACCCTGCCCAACACTTTGATTTTTATCTGCTTAGGCTTAAGTACCTATTCTCCAGAAACTTACTGCTGCTCTGTCTCCCATCCCCTCCCTTTTTCTCCCCCCTCCCCTTCCCCTCTCCTATTTATTTCGAGTGTTCACATCCCAAACTCATAACTCCGGTCATCTGAAGAAGTGGGCTGTGCCCACGAAAGCTCATGATCCATTGACATGTTTTCTTTGTCTATAAAGTGCTACCAGACCATTTTGTTGTTTTTTTACTGTATTCTCTGTTACCCAGCCCTGAAGCATCTCCACTACCCAGAAGTCTCCAGGGTTCCTGAACAGCCTCATGCTTTCCCCTGCCCCCCAGTTTTTCCCCGGGTTGGCTTTACACAGAGGCTTGTTGTTTTGGGTGAGGCCTGACCGTGTCCATCAATCTCCAGACAGGCTGTGGGTTTACGGCATACGCCCCCCTGCGCGCACACAGCTCTCTAACCCTGCTGGAGATGGGCTATGGGAGCGGGGTGAGGGCTGGATCTAGCTGAAGATGAAGGTGATGTCCGAAGCCGAGTTGGGGCCAGCGCTCAGGTCCCAGGACACGGAAACATTGCCAAGAGTTTCTGTTGGGATCTTGACCCCACCAGGTGCCGCCCGAAGAGAGGAGCCGCGTTTGGGGATTTCCCCCATCTTGGATTGAAGTCATCAGGAGAACTCAGCCAGAACCAACCAGGAACCAGACCCTTCTGCTTTTGAATCGAATCGAGGAACAGAACCAGAACTACACGGGCTGGCAAGGATCTGAGACTTCAACATCCAAACCCACAATTCATGGCTCCGACCTTGGCCCTTTCTGATCCCATTGGTCCTGGAGACTTTCTGTTGCTTGGGAGCAGGAGCTGGCAAGAGCCGATACCCATTGGGAAGTCTCTGTTACAGCATTGCCTAGATGTGGCCGCACTGCGGCTGCAGGGGTTGTGTGCAGCTTGCAGAGACCTACCTGGCCTGGCTTTACTCTGCCTGCTCGGGTACCAGAAGCAGTGAAAATACACCAGCCCATCCAAGTAATTACCCAGGCGGCTTGTGTTATAGGAACTAGGTAGCTTGATGCCCGCTTGGGTACATGGACTCTAACCAACAGCTGTGGTGACTAGGCCTGAAAGATGTGGTATTATCTGGTGCCCTCCAATGCCCTCTAAACCTCTAGGCTACATCTGCACTGGCATGTTCTCACGCAAAAACTCTTTTGAGGAAGAGCTCTTATGCAAAAACTCTTCCAGAAGAGAGCGTCTACACTGGCATGTGCTTTTCCACAACAGATGTGCTTTTGCGCAAGAGCATCCGTGCCAGTGTAGACGCTCTCTTGCGCAAGAAAGCTCTGATGGCCATTTTAACCATAGGGCTTTCTTGCGCAAGAAATTCATGTTGCCTGTCTATACTGGCCTCTTGCGCAAGAACAGTTGCGCAAAAGGGCTTCTTCCTGAGTGGGAGTGTCAGAGTTCTGGTGCAAGAAGTCCTGATTTCATACATTAGAACGTCAGTTGACGTGCGCAAGAACACATGGCCAGTGTATAAAGGCAGCAAGTTTTTGCGCAAGATCGCGCCAGTGTAGACACAGCCCTAGTGAAGCCAAGGCCAGGTGTTCCATAGCAAGGCTTACACTCAATCACAGTAGCACGAGCCTTAGCACAATTCACCTGGTCTAGGGGTTTAGAAGGTGTTGGGTTCACGATAGCTAACCCAACCCAACAACCTTCAGTCCTCACCTCAGAACCTCAGTATCACTGCTTCCTTCGTCCCTGCACCAAAGCGGCATTGCTGAAGAACATAAGAACATCAGAATGGCCACACTGGGTCAGACCAAAGGTCCATCTAGCCCAACGTCCTGTCTGCTGACAGTGGCCAATGCCAGGTGCCCCAGACGGAAAGAACAGAACAGGGAATCATCAAGTGATCCACCCCTGTCATCCATTTCCAACCTCTGATAAACAGAGGCTAGAGACACCATTCCTACCCATCTTGGCTAATAGGTATTGATGGACCTATCCTCCGTGAATTTATCTAGTTCTTTTTTGAACCCTGTTAAAGTCCCGGCCTGCACAACATCCTCTGGCGAGGAGTTCCACAGGTTGACTGTGCGCTGTGTGAAGAAAAATGTTCTTTGGTTTGTTTTAAACCTGCTGCCGATTCATTTCACTTGGTGACCCCTAGTTCTAGAAGGCAAGAGGAGCATCCAGCTGCTGTTTGGGGTGGTGTATGGAGAGAGATTGGAATTGCTCGGAAGTCCTCCTGTCTTTTAACGTTTCTCCGATGGTAATGTTGAGAGGCCTTGATCCAGAAGGGGACCCCGTTGCTTTAGTCACTCTATAAGCTCACACAAGGACACCGTGCTCGCCCCAAATTGCTAGCGAGCTAGATGGACATCTCCTCCTCACAGTCCCCATTGGAGGATGAGTCTCTGTCCGTCGCCGCGGAAACAGTGTCTCTTCTCCTCCTTCAGGCTGGCGAGCACACGTGAAGGCAGCAAAGTCACCCTTGGGCAGCCTCTAATTAGATCCGGCATGCTTGAGTAATTACATCTTATGTTTTCTCGTTACCACTCCCTGAGACAATCAGCTGCTCAATTTCATGCTAGAATTGCGGCACATCAGGGCCCTGGCGCCGCCTTGGTGGGCACCTCGGCTCGCTGTTCCAGGTGAGACGCACTTGGCGGAATTGTTCTCCTAAGTGGCAAGAAAGGGAAAAACAACCCAGTTGTCAGCATTACCGCATCTTCTGCTCCGTTGGCCACCTGACGACGGAAGAGCTCCTGGGTGGCGGCATGGCGGAATAGTGCTGAAGTCGCTTACTAGTAGAGTAGCTTTGCTTGGTGGGCACCTCGGCTCGCTGTTCCAGGTGAGACGCACTTGGCGGAATTGTTCTCCTAAGTGGCAAGAAAGGGAAAAACAACCCAGTTGTCAGCATTACCGCATCTTCTGCTCCGTTGGCCACCTGACGACGGAAGAGCTCCTGGGTGGCGGCATGGCGGAATAGTGCTGAAGTCGCTTACTAGTAGAGTAGCTTTGCGCATAGTAAACCCAGTGAGCTCCACTCGGTCAAACCCTGAACTGCCTCTTTGCCCTTCCCTTCCTACTAAGCACCCATTCTCCTGGCAGGGCAACCCCAGGGGTTGGGGGGCGGAGGAGCGCACGAAGATTCCTTGCTGGACGGGATAGGGCGGAGGAAACTTTGTGCGCTCCTCCTGCCCCCGGGCCAATCAGGGCTTGGGGGGCGGGGGAGTACGTGAAGTCTCCTCCCACCCTGCTTAGAAGTCTTCCAAGTGCCACGTGCTCCTGGCAGGGTGGAGGAAACTTAGTGCGCTTCCTCCGCCCCCAAGCTCTGATTGGCCTGGGGGTGGGAGGGGCGGCAGGGCCTCTGTGGGCCAGATCAACCCTCTTGGTCCTGCTATGGAGTCAGGACACGGGGTTTGATGACCCCCGGAGGTCCCTTCCAGTTCTATGATTTACAAAGGAAATGTTGAAACCAGGAAATGAGCCTGATTTTGGAGTAAACCCAGTGTCGTGCCACAGAACTCAGGGGACTCACAAGAGCCAAACCCTCTGCCGGCGCAGCTGGGCAGCTTGACGGAAGCCAGTGGAGCTACGCACGTTTTCACAAGCAGAAAACATGACCCTCCCCGCAGCATACAAGGTCTGTGTGTTACTCAGATTTCACTCAGGCCTCCCTCCTATTTAGAGCTGCGCTAATAATGGATGTTTGGGCTGCTTGGCAGTTCTGGGAAATCAGGAAAAAATGTTTCGGGTTGAACTGAAACCGATTAAAAAAAAATCAAAATCAAATCAAAAAATGAAAAGAAAGAATGAAATATCAAGCTGTGTGACATGTTTTCTTTTGAGTGATGTTTCGGATTCTGGACCATTTTTAAACATCTGGAAGTTTCCCCCAATACAATGAAATGACATTTTGAAACTCAAAGTTGATATGAACAAAAAACAAAAAACAAAAACATTAAAAAAAAGGTCAACGTAAAATATTTTTTTCAGATTTTAAGGTGTTTTGCTGCCAAAACAATTTGGTGGATCTGACTCCAGTTCCCAAAATAGTTTGCTGTCACCGAATCTGCATTCTTCATGGGAAAGGAATTGGGGCTTTGCAGGAGAAGGGGCCGACGTGTGTTAACCTGGTGTCTGAGTAGCAGAGGTGCAAACCAGCAAGGCACAATAGAATACCACGCGGGGGCTCACAGCTACATAAACAGAAAGAACGTGTCTGCATGTGCACATCGGTGTCAATCTAAAAGGGTGTCACAAGGAGGAAGGCGAAAATTTGTTCCTCTTGGTTACTGAGGACAGGACAAGGAGTAATGGGCTTAAAGTGCAGCAGGGGAGGTTTAGATTGGACATTAGGAAAAAATTCCTAACTGTCAGGGTGGTCAAATATTGGAATAAATTGCCAAGGGAGGTGGTGGAATCTCCCTCTCTGGAGATATTTAAGAACAGGTTAGATAGACATCTGTCAGGGATGGTGTAGACGGAGCTTGATCCTGCCTTGAGGGCGGGGGGCTGGACTCGATGACCTCTCGAGGTCCCTTCCAGTCCTATTATTCTATGATTCTATGAATAGAATATCACGCGGGGGCTAACAGCTACATAAACAGAAAGAACGTGTCTGCATGTGCACATCATTGGGAAAGCATCACTCGGGAGAGTTGTGTTGTGTGTCTCTTGTGGAGGTGGTTTTCTTTTTCCGGTGAAATGTCTTTTTCTTGGCTGAGCGCGTGTGTGTCCGTGAGTGTGTGTCTGTGTGTGTGTGTTCATGTGTGTGCGTCCGGGTGTTTGTTTGTGTGTGTGTCTGTGTGTGTGCCTGTGTCCATTTGTGTTTGTGTTTGTATGTCCGTTTGTGTGTGTGTGTGTCCATGTGTGCACCCATGCGTGTGTATGTCTATGTGTGAGTGTGTGTGCACACCTGTGTGTGTGTCCTTCTGGATGTGTGCGCTCACACTTGGCCATCTGCATGTGCACATCATTGGGAAAGCATCACTCGGGAGAGTTGTGTTGTGTGTCTCTTGTGGAGGTGGTTTTCTTTTTCCGGTGAAATGTCTTTTTCTTGGCTGAGCGCGTGTGTGTCCGTGAGTGTGTGTCTGTGTGTGTGTGTTCATGTGTGTGCGTCCGGGTGTTTGTTTGTGTGTGTGTCTGTGTGTGCGCCTGTGTCCATTTGTGTTCGTGTGTGTGTGTGTGTCCAAGTGTTTGTGTGTATGTATGTCCGTTTGTGTGTGTGTGTGTGTCCATGTGTGCACCCATGTGTGTGTATGTCTATGTGTGAGTGTGTGTGCACACCCGTGTGTGTGTCCTTCTGGATGTGTGCGCTCACACTTGGCCATTGTGCAGCGGTGGCCTCCGGAGGTGCACATTGGGGTCTGAAATGTGAATGAAAATCCCTTTACTTTCCTGAGGCTGAGCATTTCCCCTTTCATTCTGAAAAGGAGAGCTGCATCTAATGGCCCCATCCTACTTTCCATTGAGAGGTTCTGTGCTTTTATGGCCCTCCCCCGCACTAAGAGGTCTATTGTCCTGAGACCAAGAGAGCCTCTTGTTAGTGCTTTTGTTCTTGAATTGGGCCTGCTCATTTCATGGGCCAAACCCCTCCCTCCACTCAGCCTTCCTAGCTCTCTCTCACCAGGGTTTCATGGCAGAACACAGCTAGGGTTGCCAGGTGTCCAGTTTTGAACCGGACAGTCCAGTTTTGAGCTTTCTGTCTGGGAAACAAATTGAGAAAGTAGAAATGTCGGGTATTTTCTAAATCAGATGTCATGTCGATAGTGATGTAAAGTCAAGTGTGTCCGGTATTTTTGTTGAAACCATCTGGCAACCCTAAACACGGCCTGGGAGTGATTGGCCAACGGCTGGAACTGGGCAAAACCCACAGCGCCTTTTCGAACGGGCAAGTCAACTCGTCTCAGCCGAACGCTCAGGAGTAGCCCTGATGGCCAGATGTAGGAGGAGCTGCAGGGGCCCCCAGGCTCGCGGGGATCTGCAAGTGGGATAAAAACCCAGCAACGATATCTGGGTTCACATGCTGCCACGCTTCCCGGCAAGAGACACAAGAGAGCCGTGAACTCCGTCAAGTGGAGTTTGCAGAAGTTGGACGAATATTTGCAGCATGAGTTTGTTTGCACCGGCTGCCCGGATCTAGGCAGGAGTCCAGCAGAGAGGCTAAGCAGCCCAGGGAGCGAGGGATGAGAATTTTCTTTCTTCTCTCCTGCTCAAAGCGTTGCTGACAGCCCCAGCGTACAAAGCGCACCCAGAGAGACTTAATGTTTCAACACTCTCTGAACTGCCTTCAGATGCCCCATGCAAATGTGGAAGCCGGGTAATTGGAGGCCTGTGATCGGAATGAGAACAGCTCCTGATGCCCTTGCAGGCCGGCTCTGCAAGGACAGGGGAAAACTGCAAAAGTTTAACTCCCAGGAAATTGGGCTTAGTGTGCTCCGGAGGTACAGTTTGTGTGAGCGGCGCTGGTGGAATAAGTCCGGCCTTTAGAACCTAGGGTATGGCACGGGCCCGCCCATTCCTTTCTGATTCGTCTCCTGCAGAATGTAACCCCCCCGAGTGGATTTTACAGCTTTGTTTCTGGAGATTAAAGAGAAGTGACAGGAAGGAGGAAGCTTGGTCTGGAATTGCCTGGCAACAAA